CACTATCACACTTGCCCCGCCACACAACGCCAACCACCACGACCAACCACATAACAACAATCGTCGTCGATTCAGCGCTGCAAGAGCAATTGCTTACGTTGCTTTGTTTGATTGGCTACCATCTGAGTATAGATGACACCGCTGACTAGAAAATATGTTACTTGAGTATCGGAAGCCGAATTACGGTAAATTAATGAAGCGATGGCAGACAGCGATCTCGCGGCCTGGTTTCAACGAATTCCTCATATCACGAAGTATTGGTTCACCGGATCTGTGGTCCTTCCCCTCGCTGCTCGGTTCGGTCTCGTTAATCCTTATTATCTGATCCTAGTGTATGAGTTGATTAAAAAGTTCCAGGTAAACGAATCATATTTGTTCATATTTTGCGCTGTTTATGTGATATTTGTGCATTTTTCGTGTAACAAAGTGGTTCGCTTTGCTGTGTAGTGGCCGATAAATTATTCGTTTTGTTTTTTCAGAGTTTGGCGCTGACATCTTTGGTTCATTGTGAGCTATATTTTGTGATAGTGGAGAGCTTTGCGGTTTCGTGTACTGGAAAATTTTTAAAATTGTATGGCTGAAAACACATATCTAAGCATTTCTTCCTACCAGGAGATTTTTCTGCAAGATTTAGAAAAGAGAAAGAAACAAATAACATTGTTGCTAAGTTGCTTGAAAAGCGTTGAAAGCGTCATAACTGCGCTTTTCATATGCTGTACGACAGTTCTTCCTGCTTTTAAAAGCGCTACAGGTACTGCCCGTCTCAACAACAGCTAAAGGCGACAGTATGTTGAAATTGGGATGATACAGACGATTCGCGAAAGAGCAGGAGTTGACTACAAGCAACGTGAGAAAACCCTTAAAAAGAGCTCAAAAACCACCGTTTGACTCGCTTTGAAGACCCAGTCGTGCAATTCATTTATGTATTTTCGAGAATCGCTATTCCTTTCGGAACTTGCGATAATGACTTTAAAAGGCTTGTCAGTGGGTCGTGATTTGCTGTCAGAATGCCCAGTGGGCTGTTTTCAAAGACGCGACAGTGCCTTATTGTTACTGAAATGCACAAACAAAACGGTCGTGACCTACTCTGGTTATCTTCGATGTCGTCACTCTCTGTATTGGAGTTTATCTGTTCGTTAGGCTACTGAATTTTGTGGAAAAATGTTGAACAGTTATTTCAAGTTCAATTATTTTTAGGCAAATTCTGCGTGTTCCTATTGAATCATCGTGGAGTGCTGCAGCCAGAAGTTTATCGAATGTCTAAATTGGGTGTTAAATGCATGGTTTTGTAAATAACATGGTGATTACTTTCCTTTCAGCGCATGGCAATACCATGAAACCGCTTCGGTGTTCGAGAGACATCGACGCGTTTTTCGTTTTTCTTATTTTCAGTTTCAAGTTTATGTTAAAAGTGAGGATATATTCCAATTTCCTACTGTAAGCTCCCACTGGCGGTGTCATTCTCGCGGAACCTTTTCTGACGTGCTATAATGGCAGACGACCTTGTTTTATTGTCATCTTCTGAAACTGATCTACAGTGCTCCTTAGAAAGGTTCGCAGCCGAGTGCGACGTGACCGACATGCGTGTGAACGCATCTAAAACGAAAAGACTGGTGCTTTCTCGTTCTCTTGCCCGTTGCTTTCTTCAGATTAACGGAGAGCAGATGGAGATGTTCAAGTACCTCGGAACTGTATTTACTAGTGATGGAAAGTTGGGGGAAGAGATCGTGAGGCAAACCGGAGTAGCCAGTGACGTTTTGCATGAACTAGCCGGACCCACTGTGACTAAAGCAGAGCTCAGTCTGAAAATTAAGCTCTCAGTGTTCAAGTCTATCTTCATCTCCATGCTTACCTACGGTCATGAGTCGTGGATAATGACTGAAAAGCTTCGATCCTGGGTAAAAGCTGGTGAAATGGGCTTTCTTAGACGAGTCGCTGGCCTTACCCGTCTCGGTCGAAAATACTGACACCCGGGAGAGCCTAGGTGTACAGCCTTCGCTTCTCCAGATTGAAATGTCACAGCTGCGATGGTTTAGGCATGAAATGCGAATGCCTCCAGAAAGGAAGGCTAAGCAACTCTTTCTTACGAAACCGACCGGTAGAAGACCCAGGGGACGGCCAAGATTAACCTGGTGCAGATATATGGATTCAGTCTGTTGCTTGTCTTCTCCGATTGCCTTCTGCCGAAGCTCAGACTCTGGCACAGAATCAGGAACATTGAAAGCACTGTCTGATGCGTCTGCCTCCGCTACCCGAAAGGAGAAGCGATCATGGAAGATGAAGATCAAAAAGTTTATTTTGAGAGTTTCTGATTTGTATTGACAAACTTCAGTCCAAATCGGAAGATCGTTTTGTTGTCCAGAACTCGATTTCAAATGTACATCTCATATACAACTGATGATAAATGGCAATATAGCATGACTTCATGCATTTTGTAATGAGCAGCATTCGTATGTAAGTTTACAGCCAAAATCAGCGAACATTTCAATCTTGTGTGTTATCCAACCCGTCCCGTTCTTTGTAACACCTACAGAAAACGGCTTTTTAATATACTTTAATAAACAAAAGTTTTGTCAAAAAATAGCTTTACTCGTCTTTCGGAGACTAAAGTCGTGCGATGTCTCCAACGTCGAAATGGCTCTGCCGACCACATCTTTGACTTGGCCTTGTAGCCATCGGGAGCAATCTTTTCTTCAGATCTACAGTTTCTTCTGGCTTAATGCCAGGTGCTTAATGCGCGTGCTTTGGGATGAAAGACTTTCACGAAT